CTTTTTGTCTCATATCAATTGAGTCTTCCATGTTCATGTATGATGCTTTGACTTAAAAGGGGTTTTTGTTGACTTTTCAAAAGGACCTATAATGTCAAAATTAATATCTTTTTGTGAATGCATATTATGAACTTGATAGATGAGGATGAATTGTGGGGAATTTCATCCTATTCAAAATGAGCTTTGGATGGGTCATTTCTGATAAAGTATGAGAAAGTTATGCTTGGTCAAAGTTGAGTTGAATTTTCTTGCAAAACCCTAATTTAACAACTTTTGAGTTTTGATGAATTGTGAGAAATCCTTGAGGAATCATGATAAACCCTTGATCAAATGATTAATAATACTTAAAAATAAGTATGTTGACCAAAAATCTTGAAGTTTGACTATATGTGGGCCCCAGCTGACTTTTGACCTAGTATAGTTGATTTTCAGGCATTTGAGCAATTGACTGAGAAAACTTCTTCTGCAAGGCTTGAAACTTTTCATGGGTGATCTTGGGAAATATTAGTACAATGGTGATAATTTGAGTCCTTTGTGATTCACACATCTTGATGAAAACAGAAACCCTAATTTGAGGTATACTGCCTTAGGAGAGAGTTTGTCTGGTCAACTCCTGAACTTCCTTGAGCAATTTGGGGACCTCACTTGCCATGTGTTGAGAAATATGGGAGGGAAACTTTTAGGGTACAACATCCACCATAATTCATCTCCTTACAAGCCAAAGATGAATGCGGATGTTGAAGCTGCTAATAAGAACATCAAGAAGATCATCCAGAAAATGGTTGTCACTTATACAGATTGGCATGAGATGCTCCCTTTTGCTTTGCATGGGTATCAAACATCTGTCCGCACTTCAACAGGGGAAACCCAATTCTCTCTTGTGTATGGCATGAAGCAGTGTTCCCCATTGAGATTGAGATTCCCTCTTTACGCGTGATAATGGAAACCAAGGTTATAGAGGTTGAATGGTTCCATAACATGTTTGACCAGTTGAATTTGATTGAAGAGAAAAGAGTGATGGATTTGTCTCATGGTCAGTTATATCAAAAGAGAATTAAGAAAGCTTTTGATAAGAAGGTCAAGCCTCGCGAATTTAGAGAAGGTGTCCTCGTGCTTAGGAAGATAATGTCTTTCAACGCTGATTCAAAGGGAAAGTGGACTCCCAATTTTGAAGGTCCATATGTTATCAAGAAAGCCTTCTCTGGCGGTGCATTGATTCTTGAAACAATGGATGGTGAGGAGTTCCCATGTCCTTTTAATAATGATGCCATCAAGAAATACTTTGCCTAGATAGATAAAAGAAAAGCTCGCTAAGGCGAAAACTCTAAAGGGCGGATTAGGAAAAAAGGAGTGTCTCGGTAGACCAAAAACCCGAACGGGAAGTCTATGCAAAAATTAGAGACATAAACAGAATAATTTTTTCTGATAGGTTGAAAACACGCAAGGTAAATCTAGGAAAAAGGTAGGGATTTTTTGGCAAGTAACTGCATTAGATAAGACTTGATCATTAAAGCAACAATCTTCTTGGATCCTCACTACTCTTTAACCAAGGTCAGTGCTCAGAAATTCAAAGTTGTTAGGGAGAATAGCGGTCATTGTATCTCAATATATCTTTTCCAATGTCTATTACCATTTTCCAAACTTTGTAATCATCTATGGAGTCTCGCTATTCTACCCCAAAATTTGCCCTCTCATGTTTTCAAAGGTCTTTCCTTACATGGTGGGTCACAAACCTTTGCCTAAGAGAAATAAAGTTTTTTTGAAGATGAACAAAGTGTCTTTCTATTGGCATCTGGGAAAAGTCTTCGATTGGGTATCCAAAATCCTTCGATCAGGCTTGGTTCACCAGTCTTCGATTGGGCATTTGACACTCTTCGATCAGGCTTGACTCACCAGTCTTCGATTGGGCATTTGGCACGCTTCAATTAGGCTTTGATTAGTAAGCTTCGATTAGGTGTTTGGAACCCTTCGATCAAGCTTTGGTCTGCAAGTCTTCGATTGAGCGCTGGACCTCCTTCGATCAAGCTTTGGTGTACAAGTCTTCGATTGAGCGCTGGACCCCTTCGATCAAGTCAATGTCACAATGCTTCGACTAGCACCCCAGAGGGTCCTTCGGCTGGAACTTCATACTTTACCTCAATCAGAACATCAGAACGAAATAACCTTCGAAGGGAATTTCAGTGCAGAGTTTCTCTTAATCTAAGATGCTCTAATGAAGGAAGTTCTGGACACCTCGAATCAGAACTCAGACTCATCACAAGGCCAAGGGCTGGGCAAAGTTGTCTAATAGGGAATGTTCTAAATAGATTCGAATTGGACTTTGAAGCTAGCAAAGAAGGCAGATTTGAAGGAATGAAGTAGGCTGGCATGACTGAGCAAAAACACATATCCTAACCTGGCCAGAATACCCAAAGTTCACAATGGCATGTGTCCCTTGCAAATATGCAATCGAAGTAGGGGGAGTCTCAATCGAAGGGGCTGTGACTGGAGTAGTTCGAATGGGTACTTTGAAGCAATCAAAGAGAGCAAATTCGAAGGGGCAAGTCAGCTTTTGATTTCCATCATATTGGAGGCCCAAACAGCTCATAACAGGCTAGCAGTAACGCCTGAAAATAGATTGGCATGTGATTGAATCAAATATAGCAAGTCTTTATGAAGAAATCAAATAAAATATCTTCATCATAATGGACCAAGATTTGATACACAAATGTTGACCTAAATTCCTTGTCTATATAAACCTCATGCTCACAAACAAAAAGGCACGAAAAAACGCACAGAAACTCTGCAGAAACGGCCACACCACTTTGCAAGAAACCTTGAAAAAGTGTGAGATTGAAAACAACCTTAGAGGCGAATTCAATCCAAAAGAACAACATAGCCCTCTTGCCAGCAACCTCCTGAAGCGAGACCAATCAAAAACCAAGCCTTTCACTGCCTATAACGCACTGTAAGCCCCCATGAACCTTGCTCTGCACATGGGATCACAACTCAATTTTTATGCATCTTTGTGCCAAATTTCTTGCATATTTGTATTAACCATTAAATTCCTAAGCAAACTTCATTATTTGATTGTATTTTCGTGACCTCTAACCCCATATCCAGAACCTAGGGTTCTTGTGTATGTTTTTAGGTGTTTTTCGTGCAGGTTAAATCAAGGCCAACAATGGCCATAGATGAGTTCAGGGGAGTGAGACGAGTACAGTGGTACTCTTGGATTCCATTTTTGTGACCTAGGGAGCATTTTAGAACCATCCCACGAAACTTCCTGCGGATAAAAATCTGCAGGTAAATGAACCAGGTCTTGTGAAGAAGACGATTATGTGGTGGAGCATGATTGGTTCATTTGAATCAATTGCGCATTTTTATTTTTGGCCAGGCATAATTGAATTGTTTCTATATAATATTTAGCTTCTATTTGTAGCGGTGAAAATCAGAGATCAAGCTATTAATTAACTTGACTCGCAAAAGCAAGAGTCGCCACCGCGCTTTATTATTTCCAAGGGAAAAGGGAAAAGAGCGAAATAAAACCCTAAAATATGCAATGTAAAGTAATATTTAAAAGTAATGAAAATACAATGCATTTTTAAAAGAGATCGAGAGTTCGGGGGTTGGTTATACAATGGGAAGGTATTAGCACCCAATGCATATGCGGTACTCCGCAGGAACCTTTTGAAATATCTGTTTTTTGGTTAAAATTGTTTGTTTGATTAAAATGATTCGTTTGGCTAAAAGATGGGTATGGACGAGATTTTGAAGATACGACGACCTAGCGTCGAAGTTTTGACTTAAAAGGTGTGAGTTTGAAAATGGAGTCTTTTGGGAAAATTATCTTAAGTTTGGAAAAATAGTAAACAAGCAAAAAATGAATGAGGTTATTCGCACGATTGTAGAAGACGTATTTGATGACGTGAAGTCAACAAAGTTTAAATCTTTTCCTTGGAGTTAATCATAAGCAAGTAGATCTAATATTCGAACAAGAAAGCATAAATAATTTAAAAAATCCACGAGAAACAAGCAAGGCAGATAACAAGCTTAATTTGTAAGAAACTAAATGAACGGACGAAGAATCATGAATAAAAGAAAAGTGTAATTAAAAAAATTATCTAAACTAATTTGAAATTCTAAGGTTACTAAGTAAACTAAACTTAAATTCTAAAGTGTCTAACTAAATTAAATAAAATTTTGAAGTTTATTAACTAAATTAAAACTCTAAAGTTACTAACTGAAATTCAAAAGTTATTAAATTAAATCTAAAATAAATTAACACTCTAATATTACTGAATTAGGTCTAAACTAAATTAATTCTAAAGTTGCTAAATTACATCTAAACTAGTTTAAGTATAAACTAAATTCATTATAAAATTACTAAGTTAATCTAAACTATATTAATAATAAAATTACTAACTTAAGTCAAAACTAAATTAATTCTAAATTACAGATTAAAAATTCTAAGATTAAATTAAAATTCTAAAATTATCAAAATGTATCTAAACTAATTAAAGGTTCTAACATTACTAATTTATATCTAATTAAATTAAGATTCTAAAATTATTAATTATAATTCTAAATATTTTAAAGTTATAAAATAAATCTAAACTAATTAAAAAAAATTCTAAGTTAACACTAAACTAAATCGGAATATAAGATTTACTAATATTTTTTATATATATTTTTTTTTATCAATAAATTTGTTGACTTTTCAACCATTAATTTCCAGCCATCCGGTTTTTGACAATTGACAATTAATTAAAATATTAATGGAAAACAAATTATGTAAATAGAAAGAAGTACATTGAAAACAAAATAGAGATCTGATATATCTCTCTCAGTCACGTTTCCTCTTACTTCTAAATCACCATAGTTTTTCGTAAAAACAGAGCAATAAGTCAAAATCAAACAAAGATCAAAGTTTATGCATCAATGGAGATTCAAAAAGAAAGCTCAATACCCGTGGCGATACTATCGTTGGAGATGCGATGAGCGTGGTTGTCATCGGGATCTCACGGACGAGGGTGTGGTTCAGCGGATCTGAGAAAGTGATTCAGATGGTCTGAGAAAGTGGCTTGATGGTTGCTTTCATACGTTGAGTAGAGCGTTGGCTGGTTGTTCATGGTGTCGTGCGGCGAGATCGGCCGGTGTTGCAATCGCGATGTGAGGAAGGCTTGAGCGGCTCCGATTCCGGCGGCTTTGACGGAGCATTCGGCGATGCGATTAACAAGAGGATGGCCGAGATCAAATAGGCCTTTTTTTATCGAAGTTACAGCGGTCGTCATGCTTGGTACAAGTTTCAACCTCACTGCTCGTGTTCAAGTTCATCTTCTTCTTTTATTTGATTCTCGTTTTTTGAAGATAAAACATTGTAGAGAAATATAAAAGCAAGTTAATATTTGGTTAGTATACGAGAGAAAGAAGAAGCGGAATTTGAGACTTGTGATGGGGTAGTGGGGGTGGAGGTGGAGGATGTCGGTTGTTGTTGTTTGTGTTTGTTTTGCTGCCAGATTTAGGAGTCTCGTTTGATCCATCCTCGGCACCGGAAGATGCATATGCTTTAACTGCTACAGGATAGACGTTCAAGTCGCCCACTTTCAATAGCTCAGATTCCTCAAACATTGAGAAATTGATACCAGTTCCAGCTGGCTGTCTAAACTTCTGGCCAAGACCTTGCTGGAAATTTATGATAACCGGTACAAGAACATTTTCCTTTGTCGAGGTAAGGACACACCCGTCGCCTTATTTTGCAAAGAAAAGTACCGCGATGCTTCCGGAAATAGTGGCATCAAAAGTAAACTTAACAAGAAACTGCCCAGGATTTTCCTCATCAGCTTCAATCCTCAGTGTCTCCTTCTTAATATTAACATCATTCCTAATAGTAACAGTTTTCTGATGTTCCACATACGGCTCCGGCACCTGTGGTGGCGTCGGATACCGTCCATATACTGGGCCCATCGCCGTCCGGTGATGATGGTGGATGAAGGAGTGGTTGGACAAGAAATAAAGTGGCAGAGTGGTATATGTTGCTTTCGGTAGCAAAGCAAAACCAAGTCAAGAAGAAGTTACTAAGATAGCTTTGGGGTTGGAGAAATCAAAGCTTCCATTCTTTTGGGTTCTTAGAGTTCAACGTGGATCTATGGACAAGGATGTGTTGGAATTTCCAAAAGGGTTTGAGGAACGAACCAAAGGGTTTGGAGTGGTATGCACTAGTTGGGCTCCACAAATGAAGATAATGGGTCACGAGTCAGTTGGTGGATTCTTGACTCATGCAGGTTGGTCATCTGTTGTGTTGTGGAAGCAATTCAGAACGAGAAGCCACTTGTGTTGTTGACATTTCTTGCATATCAGGGAGTAAATGCCAGGGTGTTGGAGAAAAAGAAGATGGGGTTCAAAATGTTACTGTTGGTGTGTTTTTTTTGTTTTTCCCCCCTTTTTACAAAGAAATAAGATTCTTAAATAGAGAAAATGAAAAGGAATATTGTTTTCAGATTTAATCTGATCCGTCCAAAATAAATCCAACTTACTGATCCGTAACTTTTGTTAGTAACCAATAGGAATCAAGCACAGTGTGAATAATATTTTTTTGTGACCAAATAGCCCTTAAATGATAAAAATAACCAAGAAACTAAATGTATTAAAATTAACTCAATTTAAAATGATTTTTTGAATATTTTATGAATAAAATATAAAGACCCAAAATGACCAAAAATGATAAAAAAAACGGACGAAAATTTATCCGAAAAATAGAATGAACACATTAAAATAATCTATATGTCACAAAGATTAAAGAAAAAATATTCAAGAAGTCAAAAAATCAAAAATAAAATAGTAATAAAAATATCAGACTAAACAGACGTTTAAGGTTAAAACGAGACTTCGAACTGTACCGAAAAAATAAAGCGAGCATACCGTCATGATCTATGCGAAACGCAGATTCATAAAATGATCGGTAAAAGGTGAAAACTTGAAATATTTTCTCGCTAATTTCCTGCATATTGTCGAATCGCTTTTAACAGTCGGTCTATAAACCAAAATATTTTTATTATTGACATATAAACAACTTGGAGCAATGCAACAAATGAGTAAATAGATAAAAATGCATGAAGCAAAATGCCGGGTATTTTACAACTGAAAGACTGATCAACTTAACTACGACTAATGATGCAAAATGTGATGAATGAAGATATTTACTAATGATTGTGACCAAATGACAAAATATGGTATGAATGTGCGACTGAAAATTAGGGGCGAAATTAAGGGTGCAACAGTGTGCCTTGATGAATCAGTCTTTGAGAATCCACAATCACCCGTACTTCTGGCTTGGGAGACTCAAAACATTAATTGAGGCGCGACATCTGATGCTCTTGATCCAGACATGTCTCTGCACATGACACAAAAGAAAACATGAACATACACCTTTGTATGCGATTAGAAATTAGTGGTACATAGGCTAAAAATGTTCAAAACACTTGACAATCTTCGCATAGTCAAAGCTCGAAGGTGAGAGGTTAAAACCAACTGTATTTCGTGACCTTGGCTTATCTTTAAAAATGCAAAATAAAAATGGGATCTTAGGTCAAAAATTGGGGTACAACACTATTCCACTAACAGTTGAACACCTGTTGTACCCCAAAATTTGCCCTCCCATATTCTCCAAAATTTGACAAGAATCATCTTCAAATGGTTCAAGATTGCTCAAGAGGTTGCACAGTCAAACCACCTCCTAAGCCAGCTGAAATTAGGGTTTTGGTTCTTTCAAGGAATTTGGAGTTTTCAATGGCTAAATCAAGTCTCATAAGCCTATATGCATGCTCAAGCACCTACATGCCAAGTTTCAAGACTCGCAATGCCACTTTGCACAGTCAAAAGCCCCATTTGATCCATAGTCAACTGCAGGGGCAAAATGGTCATTTTGCAGTCAAAAGTCAGAATTTTTGGTCAACATCTTATTTTGAGTCCACAATCATCATTTGATCAAGTCTTGATCATGATTCCACAAGGATAGCTCAAAAATCATCAAGATGCAAAAAGTTACTATTTTTGGACAATAGAAAAGTTAACTGTATCTTGACCAGGGCATAACATTTTCATGGTTCATCAGAAAAATCCAATCCAATGCTAATTTTGAAGGGGATGACATTTACTACAATCCATCTTCACATTCCAAGTCCAAGAAATGCTCTCACAAAAAGTTATCAATTTCTACATTATAGGTCAATTTCAAAAGTCAACAAAAGTGCACTTTAAGTCAAAGACCATAACTTGAGATTGGTAAATCCAAATTACATGGGACCAAAGGAATTGGTTAGAGGACTTCAAGACCTTTCCAAAATGTCCAAGAACATGTTCATATGATCCAAATTGAGCAAGATATGCATTGGAGAAGTTGGGAAATTTTTAGGAATTTGCAAAAGTCAACTTTGCTCAAAACACCTTGTTTTTGCTAATGGGCCTCAAATCTTTCTTGAAACTTTATCCATGACTTATGCACGACCCATCAAGCTCAATTGAATTTATTTTCTTATTTTCATTAATTAATTGGATTTTTAATCAATATTAATTCATTTAATTGATTTAAATTGTAGGAAAATACAGAGATGTGGTTTTTCAATCTTTTTGTGAAGCAAATATGGTCAAGATATGCTGGCAATTTCGTGTACAAATCAAATATGCAAGAATCTCCAAAATTGGCAACTTTCTTCAATCATGAAAATGCAAAAAGATTTGATTTTCAATCAAATATTCAATCATCATTCCAATGGATTTTTGTGCAAGATTCTGACCTAATTCCATTCCTCTATAAATATGCAAGCTAACCCTAATGCCATACACGTGAGAAAGCTGCAGAAAGACCATAGCCATATTGAAAAATTTCCAAGAAAATTGCAAAACTGTTTTCTGCATTCTAGGGCGATTTAAGGACTTTTATTGATCCTAATACACTGCACGAGGTCCCAGGGATAATTTGCAATCGAATTCACACGCTAAAGCTCAAAGAATCACTGAGAACAGAGCCACGGTTTGCACATTTTATCCATAATCGTAACTCTTATTTCATGCACATTTAACATGATTTCTTGTTTGTTTTGCATTGCTTGAATCCATATGAAGCTAATGGCATGAGTTAATTGGATTATAATGCACAGAATCACAAGTTGCCATGGACGATTTCTAGAGTTCATGAGCTGTGAATTTGGGGCTTTGCAATACAGGAAAAATTAGAACTCCTAAGGCACATGGTTGGATTTGTGAGAACCAGACGAACATAACTGGACCCTCGCGAAACATTTATATAAATCACAGCTCTATTCACTATTTTTGGTCACTGTAGTTTGTGGGGGTTAAAAACCCCCGCTATCTAATGTTGTTTTGCAGGAACGCACGAAGAAGACGATGAGGTGTTAGCCTCTGAGTGGACAATTTAAAAATACGCGCGTTTTTGTTTTGTTTTTCAGCATATTGCTTATTTTCCATATATATTATTCACTCTCCATTCTATTGACAAACGCGCAGTACAGCTCAGTTGGCCAAAGTATTGAAAGGCTATCCCTTGGGACCTGGGTTCGAACCCCAGGTCCCCCAAAATACTTGTTTCTATTTTTCTTACCATATTCACATGCACGCTTTCAAAGGTGTTCCACCATATACCTCAAACATCCATGCGCCATGTGGCTATAGGCACAGATCTAATGGCCATGAGATGATGATCACCATGCTCCCAGTCAACACGCGCCCTGGACAATCACCAAAGTCAAAACAGGCTGGAGTTAATGGGCCACAAATTTCCAAACTTACCTCCATTTTGGGCCAGTACCCCCCCCCCCCCCCTGGTTCATTCATTATTTTTTTCTTTTCTTTTATAATTTCAATTTAATTATTTTACTATTTTACTAATTATTATTATTATCATTATTTAATTAACCTAATTAATTATTTTCATAATAAAGTCAGAAAACTAAAAAATGTAATTTATTATCATTATTTATTAATTTCACCTTTAATTTATTATTTTTGTAAATAAATACTAACAAATTAATTTAGTCTTTTTTTAATTAGGTTAACTTTAATATTTTCACAATAAATAAAATAAAGTAGAATTAGGGTTTCTTGACAACTTTTAATCATGTTTTCTTTTTTATTTTATTTCCTAAAAAAAACATAAAAAACTAAAAATACTTTTTTTCTTTTAATTAATTAATTAATTAGTTTTAGGTTTAATTTAATTAATTGCAAAATAATAATCAAATCTCTTTCATTCCCAAAAAAAAGGGTCAAAACCCTA